CATTCTGGTACTTTTAATCAATGATTAACTTTGACCATCGTTTATGTAATTGAGTAACGATTTATTTTTAATGTTTAATGTGTAGAAAATATGCTAAACAAGATTAGTTCATATTTTATGAATTTAATGTTCATAAGCACATATTTTAACAAATGAATTACTTTTTACTCCATATTCACATCTTCCCATAGTGGAATAGATCCGTTTTTTCTCATAAACTATATTTTTATTTCAATTTGCTACCTAGGTGTAAATATTTTAAGCGTTTTTACACTTACATTGGTATCGTGTTATCAAAAATTGTCAAATCACCGAAATTATCGAGATAAACACAAATTCAAAGGGTGGCACGGTGGTAGAATTCATTATTTTTATTCTTCGCCAATGCAAGTTATTTCAGTGCGTATAAAACTAAAGTGTGTAACTTTGTTTCACTGGCGTTTCGTCACAGTATCTGACGTCATGTCATAGCAAAACTAAAGCAGGTCGTAAATTAGTACCTACTTATGAATAATTTGCTACCCCCACAAACAGTAATACACATTTACCTTGTTTGTACTAAAAGAAATTCTTTCTTGGTTTAAAATGCAGTTAGTATAATATTACCGTAGTATAAGTTCCTATCTACAGAAAAAGGTAAAAAATCTCACTACCTGTAAACAATATTTTACTAAGAGCGGCACCTTCTTTGAACATTAATCCGCAATTCTGTATTTACCTATGATCCTAATACAGATTTTTCTAAGAAAAACCTTCAATTACCTATGCAGATGTTGGGACAACATTTTGATAAAGTCACGATGGAATATTATACATAATGGGAATACAGAGACCGACAGCAAAGGTTCCCATAGTAAAGGGTGAAAATTCTCACTCTACCTGTAAACAATATTTTACTAAGAGCGGCACCTACTTTAAACATTAATCCGTAATTCCGTATTTACGGGTTTTTCTAAGAAAAACCTGCAACTATGCAGATTTTAAGACAACATTTTGGTAAATTTATGGTAGAGTATAATGGGAATACAGAGACCGACAGGAAATAGCAGGCGCAAATTAGGCAGAGCGTACATTTACAGAAAAGGTTATTTCATTATTGCTCGAGGAATAAGAAAAACTGATTAGAATTTCTAAAACCCTTATGGATATTGAATAGATAATCAGTACATTTTAAGAAATTAGCTGAAGAGGGGTAGCAAATTGAAATAAAAATATATTTTATGAGAAAAAACGGATGTATTCCACTATGAGAAGATGTGAATACGGAGTAAAAAGTAATTCATTTGTTAAAATATGTGCTTAATGCTTATGTTAATATTAAATTCATAAAATATGAACTAATCTTGTTTAGCATATTCTGTACACATTAAACATTAAAAATAAACCTTTATTATATAAACGATGGTCAAAGTTAATCATTGATTAGCACCAGAACCGTACCTTATAATCCAAGGTGGCCAAGCAATATAAGATTTTTAGTAAGTGTCATTGTTAGTAAAGCGGACACTAATGCCCGTACTAATTCGTAGATTGATCCGAGATCGAAGATTAATTCTGGGATTGACAGAAAACGTCACCAATAGTTGATATAATGGTAGATTCATGCGCAAATGATCGATTATAACTGGTTGTTTATTTAAGATCGTATTTGCTAATCTAGTTTCATGAATCCCGTCTTGATTTTTGACGGGCATAAGGGTCGGTTGTATAAAGCAGATTAAACCTCGTTTGGATTATATCAATGGGTTAAGATACCTAATTGGTTGAAGTTTGACAAAACGTCAAATTTTAACCATTCTTTACCTTAATCCAGTTGTTAACTACAAGCGAAGTTCAACCAGCCTTTATACAATCAGCCCTAGTTATTGTTCGCTTTGTTTGACTAAATGTGAAATTTAAGAATCGCGATATTCATTAATCTTTTACCGTTCAACCACATATTACTATATTAAGCCTAATGACATCAAAGTATAGATCAAAACTAATAAACCAGTAAAAGAAATTTCAAAATCCGGCAATAAATGACTGAGAAATATATTATTTAAGTTTAGGTATTCAGCGCGGAACGGCAGTGTCGGTGACGTCATTTTACGTAATTCCACGAAATACGATTTCCCATACAAACAAAAATTTGTAAAGGCGATTCATAGGCGACTCCACTCTTTTTCGATCGCATGGTCAAGGCATGCTCTTAGCAAACTAGATGAAGTGACGTCTCGAAATTATTTTTCCAATCGCAACTTTAAAGTCTTGTAACTTTGCCATTTGTGGAGGAATTGTCATTATTAATTAATAACAAAAAGCTGGAAACTTCTCCATTGTCGACGATGTGGTCGCTGTCGGCGTAGTGTCCCTAGTAATTTTTTTCCGAATAGTCGGCGTTGTGGGCACGTTCGGTCTAGTGTCCCTTGTACACTTGGCGATGTGGGCACTGTCGGCGTAGTGTCCGTCGGCGTAGTGTCCCTAGTCGGCGATATGGACCATCCAAAAATCGGGTCGGCGTTGTGGGCATTCGGCGAAGTGTCCCGCCCCCGTTTTTGCCTGCGACGCGAGAGCCACTTGAACGACTTTTAAAAGCAAATTGCTCGGTTGGGGGTGTGGAAGAAGGCCTCATTTCGGGATGGTACCTTTTGAAAACTTTATCTCGCCGGCAAGTAAATAATTAAAGCTCATTTAAAAATTCAAAAACACTTAAGTGCACCGAGTATACATTTGGAAATTGACGAAGAGGTGAAATAAATTGCATCTGAAACCATCAATTCAATCAACTGTAGCAGTATTAAGTTATGGACGTGCAACATTCGAAGTCATAACAATATTACCGTTCTTAAATTTCCATTGGCTACAAAATATAGTGGTCTTTAGTTTTAAAATGTTCTTTTTCTTTAAAAATGTTACGGTCTACGGCGACTATCCGGCGAATGTGATAAATGTAGGGTGTATTTCCGTTTGACACTTAAGGGAAGGGAAACTACCGTCATCGTCATTTATAAAACTGAGAAGAGGGGGGGGGGGCACGAAAAAAATGCAGCTCAAAACATATAACAATGCTGATTCTATTAAAACAACCGTGATGGTAGATCCTTAGCTTGCTATTTTTGACGTCTAAATTCATTTCAGAATTTTCAGAAGCTTTACAATGATTTATGGGTTCTGCTATAAAATAAAATTTTGTATTGTACACGACGATAAAGGGAAACTAACCATCTAAGTGAAAGTTAATTCACTCAATTGTTAAAATATCCCTTTATCGTCTTATATAATAAATAACTATTAATCGACTTAAAACGTTGCCTTTTTCATATATTCACAACGGAGTTATTGACTTTAACTTCGCTGCGGACCTCTGAATGGCACACTGAATTGATTAATTAATCATTTACAAAGTGTTTATGGTTTTTCATTTATGAAGAATTGGGGAAGAATAAAATGGCGTGTGGTTTTTTTTAAATGAAGAGATAGGGAAGTAAATGATGGAGGATTAGAGAATAAGTGATACGGATCTTCCAATGTACAAAAAGTGGTTTTGCGAGATATAATAGTTGTGTGGGGATAGTTGGTGGTGAATGGGACACTCACAAATACCGAACCGAGCGCGTTAATTATAATGAAAGACCATTTGAACATGAGCAAGGTGTCATTGTGGCGTGTTCCTCGACTGTTGACGCCTGAGCAAAAGCTGTGCACAATCCTTTCGCAATTCCATTTGGCAGCTGAAAAGGATGCTGATTTTTTGGCACAAATTGTGATTGGTGATGAAACTCGGTTGCACCCAGAAACGAGGTTGGAATCCAGGTAATGGATCCACAAATGCACGTTCTCTAATTTGAACAATAAAGTTGAGCAAAAAGAATCCCAGTCACATATTGGACCAAAGCAAATAAGCAACACTATTTTCTGAATTTATTATACTAATAAATAAATATTGACGGATATATGGTAACGAAAAGTCAGCTTACAATACGATCGGACCCAATTGTGAATCTGAACCATCCACCGACACATCGTGACACCGAGACACATAAACAAAATTTTATGAAAATCTAGTTGTACAGGAGGAGTTCAGTCACAACACACGTCCTATATACAATGATACTATGTAGTCTCGTCAATTCATCAACAATATCTAATACTTTTATCAACTGCAATAATTATAAAATAAACAAAACGGCCATCAAAAAGGTGAATATATATCTATTTGTTGTGGTCCAATTATTATGTGTCTGGGCTCGTATTTCCAACAAACTATTTTCCTTAATTTGAGTTCTTCTCTTAAATTTGATTAAGTATGTAATATAATAAGTTTTTTATGCGGCCAAAAAAGTGTACTCTTTAACAACATGTAATGAAAACTATAGTAGTTGCGATTAAAGAAATATGCCCCCCTTGATCATGCTGATGTACGCCACTGACCACAAATTTAAAGTAGGTATGTAGATTGGTAGTAGCGTGTTTTATAACTGTGGATACCTTCTTTTAAACAAAATGTTGTCGCGAAGTTTTATCTAGTGTTCCGGACAGAATGGGCACCATGCATAATAACAGCATTAGTCAATGATCAAGTAAGGGTGCGTTGAAATTTTGCTTCAGTAAAAAGGAAATTTCGAGGATATTGTTCAGAAAATTTAACGCGTCTAAAATTGTTGCTTCAACGCGTGCGACTATAATTCCATGTAAATCCGTTCTTTTTTTGTCCGAATATATTAATATTAACACAGCATAGTTAAACAACTGGGTTTTTAAATCACTTTTGCCACAATCATTAATTAGATACAGTTTTAACTTCTTTATCCCTCAAGCATAA